TATAGACACTGGAGAACTCATGTTAATACCATCAGTGCCATCTACTGCTCTATTTCTAAAGTACAGTGTGTGTACATCAGTAATTGCTACAAACCATGGCAGCTTCCTCCTGTAAAATTTGACTGTGTATGAGCATTTTTAACATCTATGTCTTATTTTTTTCCCCTACACTTAACATAGGCAAGCCTTGAAACCGCAGTTATGTTTAGAACAAGCCAGTCCTAGACAGTTATCTCATTATAAACTCCCACGCACTGAGAGTGTTTCTTCCCCAAACACGCACTTTTTCACTTGCAGCCAGGGAGGATGAAGTTGATTTTCCAACAGAAAAGATTGTATGAAGTGGCTCTTCTGGAGGGACTGTGGTGTGAAGACAACATCCATGAGTTCCTTCCTGGGGTGATGTGCTGAGTTAGTGTTTGCTTTACCCAAATAGACAGAGTTAGATCAAAGTGTGCAGAGAAGAGAACATCCTGGGAGGTAACAGTTTCAAAAAGAGTTTTAGGTAGGGCAAAATGCACAGCATTGTCGCTGCATTGCTATCTCCAGAGAACCGTAGAAAATTTGGGAAAAACAATACACACTTTGTATGGTTTCTCTTCAAAGACCTTGCAGACTCAGCCTTCCTATTGTCCAGTATCCTTGCAAGCAACATTATTTCACTTCTGTGGGCTGAAAAAGAATTTGGTAGGATAACAAATGATGTCCTGCAGAACTGAGTCACATTCAATAATGCATTACCAGAGGGCATTTGTATGCTTTGGCGATAAGAGCAATACGGGAACCTAGATAGGCCAGGCTCAAAACCAGTTTCACTGGTTTGCAGATTTCTGGAAAATATTTTAATCACTATTACATTTTAAAACCTACTATATTGGGTAGGTTTCCATCTTCCCACTTCAGCAGTTATCCTCTGTTTTGCTAAAGAGGAACAAACTGTACAATCGTAGTCACAACCTTTCCCCGCCTCTATGACAAAACCAACATGTTCTAGCGTTAGCAGAGCGTCGCTTTCACCATTTGCATGTCACATGGAGTATAGCTAGTGGCTGCCCTTCTGTTCCTTTCTGCTCTTGGTGACTGCCTCCACTGTGTGTGCTAAGTTTGCCTGTTCTCACTGTCAGAATATAGCTTTTCTCCTGGAGAGCTCACTTTGCTGTAGGTACACAGTTGCAGACATTACCTCCTTTATGGCAGTAAACAGACACCTCCATGTGCATTGCAGAGATACAACCCTTAATCCTGGCAGGCTATAAATATAACAAATGGGGCCCTTTGCCCTCTAGAAATTGAGAGCATTTGCAGGGATGAAAGTTTTTGCACTGTCTGTTGGATCTAACCTGTCCTAGGCACTTCATGTGCTTTTCCCTCACTAATAACAAAAAAGCAGGAACCTGTGATGGCACCGTGTGAAAAAAAGCTTTAAGACATGCAGATTGGATAAAGTGAAATGTACTCTGAATGTCAAGCAATACTAATATTCATAGTGCTATTGAGCACTTTTTAGCAGATCAGAAACACTTAAAAAAACCCCATGAGTATTTTCTCCAACCTGCAAAAGGTGAATTACATGAGTTGCCCTGGTTCACCCAAGGATGGTGTTGCCAGTGTTTCTGAAATGATCTTGTGGTATCTGACAATTCTTTCAAAGCCATTCTCCAAGAGTTAAGGGGTTATATTGTCTTTTGTCAAATTCAAAAAGTAAGAGGAGTATCCTCTTATTACAAAAGCTGGAAAAACATGACACTCAAGAACCTGAAAACCACAGACTATATAAAGAGTTTAAAAAATTATTACAACTTCAGTTCATTGTTTTAAAATTATTTGCATGTTTTTTAGGCTTTTGAATGCTTAGGGATTGTGGTATGTCAGTGAGCCAGTGCCACTATTTATCTGGCATCACTACTAGAGGTTTGCTTGTCATCCCTGGAGAGGTAACTAGTGTGGGCTGTTTGACTTCAGCATCTTGAGTGAGGTTCAAAGGACTGCAGAGGACAGTGGTACCCAGCCAGTGGTGACAATGGGGCCCATGCACCTGCAAGCCCTTCTAGTTGCCCTAGGGGAAGCTGCAGCTTGGGATAGTTACTCATAAGGAGAGCGAGCAGGCATGAGTTCCTCTTGCAGGGACCTCATTTTTCATAGAATCATAGAATGGTTAGAGTTGGAAGGGACCTTAAAGATCACCTAGTTCCAACCCCCCTGCCATGGGCAGGGACCCCTCCCACTAGACCAGGTTGCTCAAAGCTCCATCCAGCCTGGCCTTGAACACCTCCAGGGATGGGGCATCCACAGCTTCTCTGGGCAACCTGTTCCAGTGCCTCAACACCCTCACTGTAAAGAAATTCTTCCCAATATCTAATCTCAATCTACCCTCTTACATTTTAAAACCGTTACCCTTCATCCTATTGCCTGATAAAGAGTCCCTCCCCATCTTTCCTGTAGGCTCCCATTAGGTACTGGAAGGCCATGATAAGGTCTCCCCGGAGCCTTCTCTTCTCCAGGCTGAACAGCCCCAACTCCCTCAGCCTGTCTGGCTAGGAGAGGTGCTCCAGCCCTCGCAGCATCTTCATGGCCCTCCACGAGACTTGCTCCAGCAGCTCCAGGTGCCTCTGTTCTTTGGGGCTCCAGAGCTGAACTAAAAGTTCCTATGTGCCCCCCAACACTACAAACAAACCCGCGGACAGCTCTGCCAGGGAGAAACCCCAGCGCCTCTGCCTCGCCACCATGTCAGCCGGGGCCAGGGGCCGCGGGGGCGGCGCCGCCTGACATGGCGGCCGTTAGGCGGCGCCCCCTGGCGGCCGGCGGGCAGGATGGCAGCAGAGGGGTCCGGCGCGAAGGACGAGGTCCATAGGCCGCAGTCAGTGAGGCGGCTTGTGGGCTAATGGCCCTTGCTGCCCCGTGTAAAATGGCTGACTTTGCGGTGTATTCGTTGACACAGGGCTGACGAAAGCCTCTGGGATTAGGACGGGCTTGTGGCCTGCTTTGTTCCTACCTGCTCTGCCTGAGGTGGCCTTGGTGAAACTGGCAGCTTTCAGCCTCGCCCTCAGGGTTTCCAGGGAAAAGCGTGAAGATGGGACTCAGGCAGATTTGATGGTTCAGAAATGAAGTGAGCCTTAAAGTATTACTGGTTTTTCTTTTAAGTAACACCCTTTTTAACCTATAGGATGATACGGTTCCCTACCGACTCCAGGTAGTAAAAGCCACAGCTGCTCCAAAAAATAATGATTCTCGGCCTGGCTTTTTTTTTTCATAAACGGGTAAGTAAGGCAACTTAAACGATTGAGACAACAGGACACCCAGCTGCTAAAACCCTGAGCCCTTCCCTGGGCAGGGGAAACCTCTTTCGCCCCCAGGCACAGCCCAGCCCACGGGGGAAGCGGAAGCGGCTGGAAAGGCACCGAAGCGGCATTCGCTTCCTGCCTCTCCCTATTCCCAGCCCTGCTGCTCCATCCCCTCTTGCCAGGCTCTCTGCTGAGGCAGCTCTCGTTCCTAACTCGGCAAAAAAAAAAAAAATATTAATTTCTGTGTCCTTAGGTTTAGTTTGGTGAGCTGCATCTGTCAGCTCAGGGATGGGTCTGAGCACCATGAGCGCAGAGAGGTCACGGGAAGTGTAAGTGGAAGAGCAAGTCTTGTGGGGGATAGTTAGCTGTTAAAATAGGCTCAGCTGTATTATAGTATGCCTAAGAGACTTTTGTGCAGATGGACTGCCTGTCTTCTGAACCAATTGCCTTGGACTTGTTTTGTCTTAAGTGAGCTCTGAGCCTTTCCGTCTGTTCTACTAGATAGTCAGTGCCTGCAGGTGCAATGTTGTTCTCCACAGTGCCAGAGATGCCCTGGATCTCACCTGGAGATTTGCTCGCTGCTGAACTGTGGATTTTGGGCAGCTTGTGCTCTAAGCTCAGAATCAGATTCAACTTATACAGCTGTCCCAGAGGCACTGGCTTCTCAACCAGACTCATAAGCACATAAGCACCTTCCAAGTAACCAGCTGCTCTGCGGAGCTTTGAGGATCTCAGGTTGTGAGTTAGGGACTGACATCTCTGCAGATGTGTGTGCACCGCTTGCAGCATCCAAGCTCTGTGCTGGAGCAAGACAGGGGCATACTGTTCTTTGGCTTACTACTCACTAGTTTCCCTGGGCAGAGGACATGGGCCCAGAGGCCAGAAAAGAGCTGTGGCATAGAAAAAGAGAAACCAGGCAGAAAATCAGGCACCGAGACTGCCAAAGTGCGTGCCAAAGTAGGGATAGAGCCTTTGTAGCTCTTTTTGTAAAAGCTGCAAGGCTGTTCAAGAGGAGAATGAAGCCAAAAGCTTGGACGGAGCCCTGGGAACACATCTGGAGTTAATTGTGGAGGAAGGGTAAGAGGTAAACTAGTGCTTACAGGCTGATAAACTGAACAAGAGTAGGTAACAATGTTTAACCTGGCAAGTATCTAAGAGACATCATGTAGAACGAGTCTACTATCCCGCTTGGTAAGTGGCCGGCAGATACAGAAGGTCCACGGGTGTTAATGGGAGGGTGTATCTCAAGGGGAGGATTCAGGGGCCGGACTCAAATCAGGTGGTGAACTCAAAGTGTCCTCTCTGCTGGAGTTTGCTCAGGGCAGTGCTGAATTTACAACTGTTGAGTTTCAGTTGTCCCTGAGGTGGTAGATACTGAATGCTGTGGCTGAGGGGCTCAAAACCATTTTTTACCTCCCTCTAAGAGAAGAAAAAGAAAGAGCCCTGGCCTCAAAACAGTCAAGACCTTTCTCAGGTCAGTCTTAAATTCTTACCTCTACCAGCAGCTGCTTCTCAAGCCCTGAGGATTTCACTGAGCCAATTTAATGCTGGTGGACAGACAGTTTAAACCCATTAGCTGCCAGCTATCTGAATAATTTTCTTCTCGGAGCCCAGCAGACCAGCAGATTGCTCAAACCAGAACTGCGGAGAACTGCCACGTTAACTGGAAATTTGCTAACTGTTGTGGCCTGCGTGGTGAGCATTCGAGGGCTGAAGAAAATGCCACTGGCTAGATCGCTGTCCATGACTTCTCTTAACGGGCTTCCTCAGTGGGAGGATGAAGACCTACCAGTGGAAGATTTGTTGCTCTTTGAAGTTTCTTGGGAAGTTACCAACAAAGGTTTGTACAACACTCTTAGGAATTGGTATTGCTGTTTTCATGGGAGTGGAGGGAGGCATGAAGGGTTTGGACAAGAAAGGCATTAAGGGGAGCTTGGGGAAAAGTGGGCTGCAAAGCTGTTGTATTGGAAGGAGTACATGTGGCATCCATGTGTAATTGTGCATGCTGTGTGTGGGCTGCATCTGCCTGTGCTTGTGTGGGATAAGCCTATAGTTAGGACGTCTGTGTGTCTTTACGTGTTTCACCACCAGGGATAGGTTGTTTAAACAAACATCTAAGTGTTATGCCTGGGTGTGCAGATGTATGGGTATATAGGTGTTGCTTTGTACATATTTATATTTTACCTTCCATGCAAATTCACTTGGGAATGCAGTGCATGAAAATAAGCTGTAAAACAGACATCAGATTCAGAGCAGTTCAGCGGTCTCCCTTAACCTTCTATAGCAGTGTAGAGAAGAGGCCAAATTTGAAACAGGTATAAATAAACATAGTTGCATTGAAGCCACTGAACAAAACCCAGATGTCAATGACCAGTAGTCTTTATGCCAGCTGCAACCCTTTTGCACTGGTCTTTGCAAACACGGGTGGTGCCAGGCAGGGACTTCATGCTTTGTGCGTGTGTACAGATTCAAAATCTGTTCACTGCACAGCTTGTCAGGCAAAGTGCACAGTGCTTGTTACGCAAAGATTTCTCTGCCTCCATTTCTAATTCACTCATCAAATCATCCTCCTTTGCTGTGTGTAGTTCACCAAGGGGGAACAGGCACCATTTTTGCCACAAAAGTGAGTTAGTATGAGTAAATGATTGACCTCATGTGTCTTATTGTCCTGGCAGATAAATAGAGAGATTAGTCAGGAGAGGGGATCTGTAATCTGTTAAGATTTTAACTCTAAAGGGGAAACATGTGAGAGGAACAGACAGTGCTAGCGTTTATACCCATGGTGAAACTGGAATTAATACTCTGGGATAGCTTCTGGTATTTAAACCGGCCTGCAGTGCAATTTTACATGGCTCTTTTTAGGGTGGTGAGGAGTATCAATACCCAGAGGTAGTACAGAGTAGCTTTTGCGCTTCAAATCCCTGTGGTCTTATTTTCCAGTAGCTTCAGTCAAGCTTTTTGAGTTAATTTACTACTATCTGAACTTGGAGCATGCAGCATTTAATTTTGCAGTGCGCATGACAAGTAAGGCACTGGCAAGCAGATGGCAGCAGAAATCTAGCAAATTTAGGTGTTCTCGCTAACTTCTCTTAACTCCATTGTATATATTTTTTCTGAGTCATCTGGACCCACTGGTTACAGCTATCACACAATATTTTTAAGAAAAAGTAGAACACAATTAGATTTATCTGTCTTTCTCACAATTAGATTTATCTGTCTTTCTATGTATGTACAAAATGCAGTGAATCATTTAATCATCCATATAGCTCTTGTTGATTTCTCCAAAGCCAAATCAACTGACTAAACAGCTAAAATTTATTATTCTTGCATTTTATGAGAGAATGAATATTTATGAGAGTGAATATTTATTCAGTTAGTTTAAAAACAAGGTGCTGTTAATGACACCACTTAACCAAACCCATATATTCAAACAGGGCTGACTGAACTACTCATGACAAACAATTTCTTCATTAGAACCAGATCTCTGTGCAAAGTTTCTGTTAACCAACCTTAACTGGAAATATTTGTGCAAAAACTCTTTAATAAGCTTATTTCAGTGTATTTTTCTGGTAAATTCTTGATACTGAAGTGTTTTTTCTATATCTTCCAGGCAATTGAATGTCTAAGTCATGTTGTGAGATACTGTTCCCTGGTGACCTAACTTTCATAAACAGTTCTTGAAAAATGTTAGGGCACTATGTTTCTTGGGAGAGAGAGTGGCCAACAAAATATGGGGAGAGTTATCACAGAAGATACGTAGTCTCAGGAAATAATAGCTTACGGTGTATTTTTCCTGACTCCTTTAGCAGAAGGAAGAACTGTTTATTTGACTAAGTAGGCTGACCCCACATAGATTTAGTACTGCTATGTGGTTTCGTGTTTTAGTTTTAATGTTGCTACATATATTCCTAATATAGAGGGAAGGATAAGCATTAGCTGGGTTTTTTGTCTGACAAGCTAATTCTGAGCATTTAACATGAAGGTTTCTTTCTTCCTTTTTGGCAATGCGAAAGTGTGGCAGGGTAGTTCAGTATAAAGCTTCCTTGCACTGCTAAAAGTGGTGCAAAGCTGCTGTTGCCTACAGGAGAGAGTTCAAGTCTTTGTATTAATTTTATTTGCATCGCTAGGTGCTTGGTTATGGGTTCATTTTCTCCTTGAACCATGCTGCTGCTTAGTTGTTCCTCCGATTCTCTGTGACAGTGACAATAAGGCTGAACGTCTTCTTCCCTGTGAGAAACATACTACCAGAGCTCACAGTTGGCTATCTATTCCCACACCTGTAAACAGTGCAGTTTACAGGTGCTGAGCTGTTTTCTGAACCTCTCAGATATATTCTCCTTCAGAGGTTGAGGGTGATGAAGGGGTCCTGCAAATTGGAGCATGTCTGATTACGTATTGTGAGAGGATCTTCATGTGGCTGGCTGCCCATGGGAATCAAGCATTTACTGGGATTTCCCGGAGTAGGAGATGGTGCTGGTTGGTACTGAGGCATGAGATGCAGCTGTAGGGAAGGACAAATCAGTTGTATGAATTCAGTGCTCAGAGATCTACAAGTATCCATTATTTTCAGAGTCTCATCACTTCTTTCTCAGCAGCTGGCATAGTGGAGGTCTCTCTTTTTTTTTTTTTTTTTTTTTCTTTCTTCTTTTTTTAAATCTACATCATTTTAACACATGCTCTAACTAGCCAGAGCTTTCTACTTCTCTACTTCTTTTTATATTCTCTGTCCTGGCCACTGCTTGTGCTAAGTGGCAATCTCTGACATATATGTTGGAAAGCACCAGCAAATCTTCTTTCTCCTTTTCTTTGTCTGGAGCAAGGAAAGACACAGTAGCAGAACGAGAGAATGAGAAATAAAAAAGGCTCATTTGCCAATGTCACTCTCCCTGTGAAAAGGAACTTGCCATCTTAACCAAGCACAACATTGAAATCATCTTGCGTTGAAAGTCCCCTGCCAAAGAAATGAGAAAAATATTTAGTTTGTTTTGCAAGATTTTCCACACTTTATTTGACTCTTTGCTGATGGGCAAGACACATAATGTGAAGTGGATCTACTGTGTTTCTGTGGCAGAAAGGGGAAAAAGCAGGCAGGCAAGGGCCCCAGGGCACTGCAGTGCCACATGATCTGGTGGTAATCTTGGGGAAGCCCAGCTTTTTCCATCTTTCCTCTTCTCTCCTGGCCACCGTGCTCCATTAAAGCCAGGGCTGGTCATATCTCTCTGTATGTTAGAAAGGAAGACTGCTTTTCTTCCCCCGTAACACAAAGACCAGTAAAAAAGACAGGAGCACAAACCAAGTGGCTACAAGCTATGTAGATCTTGTGTCCGAAGCCCCATGGATGGAAATTGTCAACAGGGAGCAGCCAAAGGCCGTTGCAGTATTTAATCTGGGTATGGGGGAAGTCTAATTCTGTAAGTTACACTAACAGTTAGCTGTAGTTTAGTGGATTTTCTGATACATTAATGAGAAGGGCTGAGAATGTTCAAGATCTGGTCTGTGCTCTATAAAGATGTCTTTAAAATCATTCCAGTAATATTTAGATTAGTATCTCCTGCTGTAATACTAACAGCTTCTAGATAGAAAATAGAAGAATACTTAAAAATGCTGGGCAAACAGCCAGTTTGTATCATCATTCAGCTGTGAATAGATTAGCTCAAGAGTCACTGGTAGATGAATCCTTAATATTTTTTTCCATCCCTATTGGAATGAAGACTCTGCTAAAAACAAACCTTGGTTCAGTTCCCTCTGGAGCAGATCTCTATGTACAGTTTCTCTGGTGAAAATCTGGACTCTTGGAAATTAAATTCTGAATCCACTGAAGTCAGTAGGAGCAGCATTTCACCCTCTCTGCATTAAATGTCTTTCCATGATGAAAGTTCCTTGGCAGAAGGTAAATGGTGTAATCTGTGACACACGTGAACTAACACACTTTGGGGAGTGGGGATGTGCTGGCATAAACCTGGCATAAGCACAACATCAAAGCCCTGTGCATTTCTAGAGTGGGGTGGTGTGTCAACGTCAAATCAATCTCAAATGAAATCTTGTGCATTGGGGTTGATGCACACAGAAATAGCTTCTGTATTGTGGACATCTGTCATAAATTTCAGTGTTTCAGTATTATTTCAGAATATGTTAGGAATGCCAAAATTTCACAGAATTTAGAGAACTTCTATCTTCTGATAAGTCCTGGCCACAAATGTACCCAAAAATACATGAAAAACATCTGCTATCTGAAGATGCCGTTTTTTTTTCACTTGATGTGTTTTACAATGTTACTCTAAAAATGGTCCCCAGATAACAGGCAATCAATAAATAAAATTCCAACCAAACATTAGGAAAAAAAAAAAGTTCAAGCCCAATTGTATCACATCTCTATAAATCAAAGATACATTCTGAGGGGAAGGCATGAAAGGATAGTTGATGTAACTAGTAATTGTGGCAGCGCCGTCAACTTGAATCCTGAATCTGGGGTCCCACTGCTTTCTTGGATTCCGTGGCAGCCATGGTCCTCTGGAAAGCTTTAGTGCTTTCAGAGTGGCCTGCTCAGGCCATAGCAAAGAAGCTGAAGAGCCCCATGAGCACCCTGATCCTCTGTCTCTGTATAGCAAAGGTGTGTGGGGAAGGGCTCCTGCACTGATGAGTGACGGTCTCCACTTATCTATGTCATACACACATAGCTTCACTTCCTATCACTCTCCATCCTTTTTAGTTGCCGCTGCTCCTTGCCTCTGTCCTTCTGCAACGCGGTCTGGGTGGGAGAGCAAGTAAAATGAATGGTGGGTACCTCTGGCAGTTTAGAGAAGCTTTGGCAATTCCATGCTCAAAGGGTCGCACCTTCCAGCACAATTTCTGTGTAATCCTGGAAGTTGTGAACCCTTCTTCATCAGGTGGTGCTCAAAGGATCGCACCTTCAGAAGACATTTTTTTCAGCACAATTTCTGTGTAATCCTTGAAGTTGTGAACCCTTCTTCATCAGGTGACAACAAACATTGCCAATGCATCTTTCCATATAACAACTTGTGGCAGAAAAAGCACATCTATATATTAGATCTTGCACAAAGGTCTCCAGTTGCATAGTTAGATCTCCACTTCTTCCTAATGTTGTCCTTAGTAGTGATGTGATACCAGGAGACTGTTCTTGACTCACAGACTTTTTATTTATTTAGATAGTTCTGACATCTATGCTGGAGGGCTCTAATTGCCGCTTGGATTTTAAATATACAAAAGAAATAATGCACCAGGAGTTGAAATGAGGAAAGAGAAAAATGACTGGAGTGTAGATAGCATGCAGACAAATTCATAGTAGTGGTAACATATATGAAAACATTCAAGCTTTTAAAAATAATTCCATGAAAATTTCTGAGAAAATATTTTAATCTTCTATTTTTTAAAGAGGTCACTAAAGGAAAAAAAAAAAGTCAGACTTCTATTAAATGAACAAAAACCTTTCCCAAACATTTTAGTTCCCGTTTCCATGCCAGCTTATTTTTTCCCAGGAAAAAGAGGAAGAATGAAAAGGAAATACATGGGAAAAAAAGATTAGTTGTTGATTTCCTTTTTAACTTTATTTCCTTTATTCTGGTGAAAAAATTAAAAACATGTTTTAAAAAGAAATAATAGAAGTATTTTTTGCTCAGGGACATTTTAAAATGATTAAAACTTAAAATATTTTAATAAAACATTTTGGTGGAGATCAGAACACTAAACTAGCCCTGTATCCACATTTGACTGCTAATTCCCTGTGTTTGTGATGATCCGAACCAATTCTCTGAATCTGTTTTCTCCTAGTTCTGCATCTATTTCTCATTTTGTCCTTTGTTGTTTGTTTTAAAACCTCTTTCAAAGTACAGAACTTCAGAGGCTGCATACAGAAACTTGCAACATCATGGGATTTTGGTACATCCCTGTTGTTTGGAAAAGTTTTCTGTTTATAATATGACTTTAAAACATCATATTCGAGAAGAATAAGGAGGTTTACTAAATTGTTAGAAGTAATTTGAGAATTCTTTTAGGCTCCAAGTGAATATGTAAACCCTTACTCTATTACTCAGTAGGATATGTAAAGCGCTGCTTACTGGCACAGGTGTTTCCAGGGAATTCAAAGTAACTGAGCAGATATAAGCTATCTTTTAATGATATATAATGTGTTTTTAAATTTGCTATGGAAAAGTGTAATTTCAAAAGTTAATACATTATTCTAGGCATTGCTCTGCTCTTCTCAAGGTGTCTTTTTTTAAGTTATGCCCAACACTTTCCACATATATAGTTTCACTTGCACACTTTCCCTCCCTGTCAATTGAAGCTTATGCAAAGACATGCATATTTCCACAGTAACGGAGAAGAAAAAAGCAAGTTTGGGGACCAGGTAACCCAGAGCTCTTATCACAGCTATCTTCTGAAGAGTGTTCACAATCTGTAAAATGTACTTTCTTGGTTTTATCCTAAGTACTTTTCATTTCATTCCAGGCAAATCAGTGCCCTGAAATGTTTTTTACCTAGCTGTGCAACAGATTGAGATGGCAGAGCACAGCATACTC